GGGCGTATTGGTGAAATACTTTGTTGTGTAGTTGTTGTGTGTACAATTTCTTCATTTATGAAGTGTGATGGTGTCTGGATATCTTGTTGAGTAAGATTCCTAGTTCCATTGAGGTTTTCGTTGTGTATGACTGTCGAGTTTAAACTATTATTTTGTGTATCGGGTAAAAATGTATTATAGTTTAATGGTGTTGCATCAATTGTTAATGGTATTACTCTTACATAATCTCTTATGTAAGATATTGTACCTATTGCTTGACTTGAAATTGATTGTGGAAAGCTTATAAATGCGGGATGAGACCATTCGGGGTCCCAAACATAATCTGATTGTTCTGTGATAGCGGTATCATCGTTCGAATTTTGGGGTCTAAAATTTTTTCTTGCTTGTGCAATTAAATCAATATTGTGTGTGAAATAATCTATTATGAACCATGCTAAAATTTTTTGTAAATCGTGTTTGGTATGTTGTGAGACGTCGTCTTTCGTGAAATTTTCTTTAATGATGTTTAAATAACTAGAGAGTAGTGTGATTTCATGTCGTACTTTCAAATGTTTAGATGTTTCTGTCGGTGAGACATTTGTTATTGGGATTTCGTTTTCTAATATCGAAATATAACTATATATTATTGCAAAAACTTCATTGGTGAATATGGAGTTTGCTCTTTGTGAGTTATGATATTGGATGCTTTTTATATATTCTGAAAAAACTTTTGAAAATTCTAAATCAAGATCGTCTGTTTGAATAGTATATGTTCTATTATTATGGTTTGGGGAAGTGAATTCTATGGAGTAGATTCCATACTGTTGTGTTATGTTGCATATATCTTTTAGATAGTGATCTATGATTTGTCTTTTGATTTTTACATCGGGGAACTCTGTTTTACATGGACTGATTCCGGGTTCAAATAAATTTACGAGTAAATTTTGACAAAATATGTGTTGTCCTCTATCAGTATCTGCATCTACTATAAAAGGAAAGATTTCATCATCATCTGGAGTTTCGTCACCTGGAGTGTGCGTTGAGCTCATTTTTTCGTTCGATGACTGTTAATATGTAATTATTAATGTGTCGAATTGGTTGATTCCAATTGTATAGATGTACTGGTTTGTGTTTGTACTGCTTTTTTATTCTTCTTTTTCCTCTTTGTGATGAATTTGAAGTTGTTTCTGAGTCAGAAAAATATAATTGATCGTGAAGTGGGTAATTTTTATCTATTGATTCTTTTAGTTTGTAAAGTTCGTCTAAACTGTTGGTTTCTGATTCTGAAAATGCGTTTCGATTTTTTGAAAATCTTTTTCGTGTTATTTGTCTTTGTTTAGTTATTATTTTTCTTTTTAGTGTTTGTCGTTTTGTTCGAATGTATCCAACTGTTTGTGTATGAGGTGTGATTACAAGGTCGTATTTTTTGTTATCTATTTCACAATTGTGTAAAATGATTGTTTGTTTATTTCCTAGGTTTTTAAATGACATAAGGTTTAGGATGACGGATGCAAAAGGTTGTTAAATGATTTCTATTTTCCTAAACTGTTAGTTCTTACGATTTTTTGGTTAGCTTAACCTGGGTCTATTTGTTCAGGGTTGGAGAGAAAAGTATATCGATTCCGAAGAATGATTTTTACTTTCTCGTGACTAGTATAAGCTAAGGTGTTAACTTACTTAATCTTACTTAGGGGTAGTGATTGTGTTCAAGGGTTGGAGAATAGTAAATCGATCCACAAGGTTCAGGTATAATTAGAACGCGAGTAGTTCGTTAGATACTATTTTAAACTTACTAAGTCTAAGATTTATCCTGGGTCTGGTAAGAGGGGGGGTCAAGTGAAGGATGAATAACCGAAGTTCTTCACTGTTTATCCTAATTTGAATGATTAGTTTTGTTTAAAAATTTCTATTAGTCTTGGGTCTTTAGAAAGGGTTGGGTAGTGAATCGACGTTTGAGGTCGTTAGACACTAATTAAGTGGGTGGGGTAGAACAAAGTTGTTCTGTTTGATCCAAGGATAAGCCTTGATGATCAAATTTGAGATTTTAATTAAGTAGAAAATGATTTAAGATCCAAGGATAAGCCTTGATGATCCGGTTTTAAAATTAAGTGAATTTAAGTTTTGATAAATTTTTAAATGTGTGTAAAGGAAAGATTTAGTGTTTTATGATGTTAGTGAGTTGATGATTGCTGTTATGTTTTAGATGATGAAGCTGGAACAACAGGATGATTTATGATTACTAACCATTTATTGTCATGCTACTAATTTTTATTTTTATTTTCCAATAAATATTTTTCAAACATGTTTTGTATAATACTGCAGAGTTTTAGGGAAACGATCTTAGATCTTTTTATCAATCGTTATTGTATAATATTAATTTTGTTTAGCGCCTGAAATGATTTTGAAGAGTAACTTCAAGGTTTTATGTTTGCAAATGGAAATCTAAATTCATTGCAAGTAGTATTCGAAATATAAAAGTTTGTTCTGGCTTTTGCCGAACTATCATATAACTATACGGCAAGTTTCTACTTTGTCGTATGTCGTCTTTGGTTCGAGGTCTTCTTCCAATTCCGGGTAGTTCTATTATGGTTCGGAATATTGGCTCTGATCTATTGAGTCGGAGAGACATTTCAATTAAATTATTGTCGTATAACATTTTGTAAATGTTTTTGTCTAATTTCTAATCTATTTTTGGTTAATTCTAATCTAGTAAGGTCTTGTTCGAGACTTATGGTCGCACCAGATGAGTTAGAACTGGAGGTATAACTCATAGAGTAATTTCGGATAGGGTACACCGTCTGCTCGTCACGCTATCTTATTTTCGGCCGGATAGATTCGTGCAACTTCTTAGTCTAATACCGATCCTAATCTTACTCTTATACTATCTAGTCTCAGGTTGTTTAACTAGTCTCTGCTAGGCTCAATAGATCTAGGGTATACTGGTTTATTGCGGCTGCTGAAGTGCTCGGGAGAGTCCAACTAATTTCTAAGTTAAATTCAAATCTCTCTGGTGCTGAAATTACAAGTAACTTCAGCACTTACAAATAAGTGGGTTGTTAGTTAGATGGATCATGATTGGTTAATATTAAATACTTTACATTGGTAAAACATTTAATTTATCCAATCATAAAATATAGTTTAGATCAGGTTCCAATTCGTAACAGGCGATAATTCGTAACAGGCGACAGTTCGTAACAGGCAACAACTCGTAACAATAAGTTGAGCAGGGAACACTAATTCACGCGCAGTATTCCTCTCGCGCCGGATGTAAGCGCAGCAGGGCAAGCGTATTCTACTTGCCAATGCCTTTGTTACGAATTGTCGCTGGTTACAAATTGTCTCCCTGTACGATTTGACGCCTGTGCTGGATAGAAGCTGTCGTCCAAAATTGTATTTTGGGTATAAACTTATGCAACCAATCGACGAACTCTCGGGCCTTTCCCGCACCGAAGTTCCATGAATAATAATCGATTATGTTGAATTTTCGTGGTCTCTCTCAATAAATTTCGATAATAATTATAGTTATCGCATTTCCTTTTTAGTGCAGTTGCTACGTGTTAGGTTTTTAGGCTTCATAAAATGTTGCCTTCCAGTTTTCAATCTTTATAATTTGGTCTTATATACCCCGTTTACCCCTTCCCTGTTTACACACCCCCCCCCCCCCGTTTTCCTCCGTTTACACCCCCCGTTTTCCTCCATGTTTACACCCCCTACCCCGTTTTTCTCTCTGTTTACACCTTCCGTTTACCCCCTGCCAGTTTACGACAACCGTCATTCGCGTTCGCCCCGTTTATGGGGGGTTATTTTTTGGTAGACTTTGGGGGACGGAGGTTTCTGAGGTACACCCCCCCCCCCCCCCCACTTTACTCCCCCCCCAGTTTACCAGCCCCGCCCACAGTTTACCCCTCTTCATTTATCCCCCTCATCTTAGTTTAACCCCCCCCCCCGTTTACTTGGGGAGGGGGTTTGGGCAAATGCGAACTGATGGGGGGCAAAGTGGGGGGGGGGGGGGTTACAAGTAGGCCGTGAGTAACGCAGAAATGTTGCAAGTTTTGCAAGTGATTTTACAAAAAGTGAATAGATCATAATCCGTTATAATCAATAATAATGGATTTTGAATGGATTATAATCCATTATAATGGATTTTAAATGGATTATTATCCATTATAATGGATTTTAATGGATTGTGTTTTTACGAAAAAAAATCGATTATAATGACAATATAATCGATTACGTGGTCTAAATTTGCCACAATAATGGATTATAAGACAACATTTTTCCGTTATAATCGATTATTATTCATGAACTCCGGTGCGGGTTTGAATCGGCTCAAAAAGGCAATAAATGGCAAAAACTTTTTGAAGTAATTTGACAATTTTAAACAGCACCGATTTTATGCGTGTGAATTCCTTCAATCTTTTGGCAAAACACGGCTTTATTTATTTCGAAAACCTGTCACTCTAGGCTAGCCAAGGCCGTTTTATGAACTAAATTGTTAAATTTTACTAAATAAACAAAAAGGGTGTTGGTTGGGGGGGGGGGGTTTCGATTATTGGCCGAACGTTGAGTTCAAACTTATTCTTAATTTACTATTTGCTCAGCAACATCGCCCCACAGATTAAGTTATCCTTTCATTCGAAAAACATTTTAAGTTTTTCATCAGCACATTGCAGTCAAACAAAATTCATGATAGCACTATGGTTAGATTTTTTATACTCAAAAAAGGACAAAACACGCAGTTTTGGATTAAAACTTGTCGGAGGCAATAAAAAAAGTTGGCTCTTTTCCAGTTTCCCACCCCCTCGGAAAATTACAAAAAGAGCTGTTTAAAAATTGCTCACACGGCATTATGCATGTAAAAAATGTTGTAAAAATTTGTTCACTTTTGTTCAAGCTAACACTTTTTAATGCATTTTATATTGTGAAAAATCATTTTAATTTGTTTTCCATATATTTTATTTCAGAAAAAATCAAAGGGGGGAACTGGAAAAGAGCCAAAAATTCAACGTTATTTTTTTTACCTCCGCAGGGGAGCAACATTTGAACCCATCGCAGCACTCAAATCTACCCGGACAACCCCCTGCCGGACATTCATCCTGTGCCAGACTCTGGATCTCCTGCAGCGAACAACACTTGTAGTCGGGACAACAGTAGGGATACTGACTCCCTGTCGTCGCCCACTGCAGATGTCTGAGGGTGAGGGGTTAGACACTTGGGTGGGGTTGTTGCAGTCTTGGGCACTCGAAAGTTGCAAATTGGAGCTGATCACAAAAATTGTACATAGAAGGCGCTGTATCTCTGAAACAAGTGAAAAATTGGATCTATTTAACAATTTTCGCACGGGAGAAGGGGAGAGGGGGGGGGGGGTAAATTGTTACTGGCAACAAAAAATTTGATACGACTAAACATTTAAGTCATTTTTTAAAGGGAGGAGATTCGTACCAAAAAGCGGGTAGTTCAGAGATTCAAAAAAGCGTAAAAAACGATTGAACGTTTTTTGCTTTGGATAACTACACATATCTAGAATATTAAATCTACAAGTCACTTCAGTTTCTGACAAAAATTATTTTGTTTCAGATAAAAAGAAATTTTTGAGGAAATTTTTGGGTCAGAAGAGTATTTTTGGGCTTAATCAGATAGTATCATAAAAAAAGTTAATAACTTACTGCCGGCCTGGATCTTTGAGGTTGAATCTGCGTTAAGCCGCCGTTTAAACATGTTTTTTTACACAATAATTTAGATATGTTCAAATGTACATATTTTAATGCCACTGAGTTTTTATACGTAATGCTCTCAATTGTGAATACACCACACAATATACTGCGCATATGGCTTCAAATTGGAAAACACAGAACAATTTTTTTGGTATAAATATAAAGCGAGTGAGTAGAATGCGCTTTGTTTATTCTTTTGGTATTTTTTAGCTCAAAAATGACGTCTCAACATGTCTGACGTTTAAATAAATACCAATTGAATCTAAGTTATGAAAAAAAAAACATTGAAAAACTACCTATTTTTTGGGCAGGGTGGAATTCTCTTTGAAATTTTGACCCCATGAATACCCAAAGGATCACTTTTTGGTACTAATTTACATCTTTTTTGACTAATCGATACTAATTTTTTCTTAAAAGCGCCTTTGGTACCAATTTATACTAAACTTTAGGGGGGAGGAAGTGTGCCGATAAACAGATCCCATTTCTGCACTCTACTAAAAGCATCATGATGCTCTTTTAGAGTGCAGAAAATTAATACGATGATTAAGCTCAAAAACTATAAGCGGCTAACTCGTTTCCTATTTTTCCCGAAGGTCAAATGATGATGAAAATTTGATTAATTCGACAGCAGTTGTAGATTACTAAAGAGGTAAGAGGAGCTGCACTATCATTGCCAATTTTAACGCTAAGTATGCGACTGAAAACAAAACAATGAACAAAGCGCCCAAAAAGATTATGCTTCGATAAAATTAGCATTAGTTTTGTTAGCTTTCTGATTGTTTTCATTGTAAGTTTTTAGCAGAGGTAAAAATTTCGAAATGGAAGAATTAAAAAGATGTCAACATACATTTCAAAACCATGGCCAGACTAAAACAAGGATAGCCGGCTGCTGTGCAAGTAGCACATAATGTTCCGACCATCTTCATGACAACTACAAAAAAGCTTTTACTTTTTTTTTCAAATTTAAGTCGTTGTTAGTACGCAATATGATAGAAAAATTTTATTAACGTGTAGAAATGTAGAAAGCTAGTGAAATAGACATTATTGACATCATTTATTCACGAAAAAGAATGAAAAACAAAAAGTCAGAAGTAATTTCGATGACATTTTTTCAAAAACTTTTTTTTTTCACGATTATTTTCACTTTAATTTTTTAATATTATATATATAGAGAGTATCCGTACAATGTTCTGTACGTATGGAATTGTACGAAATTGTATGAAAAAAAATTTCCTATTTATGAGAATTGTATGATAAGCACTTTTGGTCAACCCGGGCAGCTTTTGAAACTGAACCTACCACATGTTGTAATATATCACCCTGTGGTAACTAACTAAACCTCTAAGGTTTTGTAATGAAAACTGAATTGGTTTCAAAGGATTAATTTAACCGTTGAACCATATTGTTTTTCTTTTGTTAGTTTCCGATTGTTGACTGTGTACGGATTCACAGATCGGAGAGAGAATGACTCTCTATCTTTGCAATAAAGGTCGTGTAGAGTTGACCTTGGTTATTTATAATAATATACTATAATTTACAGATAACAATATGAATAGCACGTTCAAGGCCACTATGTGATTACTGCATGGTTACTGCAATTGCAGTAGCAGTTGCGGTACCACATACCCCCTCGGCCGAGAAAAATTTTATAATATGTTATCAAATTTTAATAATAATAATGAATAGGAGTTTTAATACTCAGTTTAAGGAGTTTTATTCTTTTTCGCATTTATTTATAATCACTTTCCCTCTCTTTCCTCGTGTTCTTCTTCGAAATTTAGTGGGACTCGCCACTCTGCGTTCCATGATCGGTTTATGTTGAGAGCCTCGCTGCCAAACTTTCTTCGGAAAAGGTGCTTCTCAAGCAGATCAAATTTGGTTTCCACCGAATTCGACGCCCCGGGTCTGAAGTTTGCTAACTTAATTCGGTACGCTTCAAGCGCGGCTCGATTTAGGTTTAAAAGATCGTTTTGATCTTCGATTGCCTTCACCGAATGCTTAATCGGATTTCCGTATCTTGTTGGCCCCTTCTTGGCTCTTCCGCTTTTACGAACCGAAGTGTCCTCAACTTCGGATTCATCCGAGAACCCCGGAGGATTCATAGATTCATCTTCGACGTCCACGTCCTCTTTAGACTGTAAAATCTCTGCCGCCGTGCGTTGTACTCCGCGTTCGAGTACTTGGTCAGCTAACCGATTCCAGTCATTTGCCGATAAATCTTTACTATTGAATGTGTCGAGGATTGTTTCGGGAGATGTATTTCGCGAGATTTCTTTCTTGTTTCTCGTATTGCCGTGTGTATTGGATGTTGAATTTGGTACGTCTCTTGTGTTGGACGAGCACGCCTGATCTTCCGCTTGAGGTTCCTGCACTTCTGGTGCCGACGCAGCATTTTTAGGTTGAAAAGTGCTTTGTTGAGCATCTTTTGGGTTTGTGCCCACCTTTGCCTTGGGTTTTGAGACGAACGGGCCAGCCAGGTTTGGCTTTGCTCGTCGGACTGCTAGATTTAGTCCACCGCCTTGCAGAATGTCCTTTGACGTGACCACCGACGGGCTGTCCTGAAATTTCAGCTTTGCATTAGATGGATCTATGCTTTGCTGCTCTAGCAGTAATTCCTCGTCCGACTGACTAATTTCGGCCTCGTCCTGTTCGTTGGCCTGTCGCTTCGATTGCCTCTGCTGCTTATTCTTAGGCTCTTCTCCTGTTGGAGAACGCCTGTTGTTGCTTTTCTCTTTATCTGGAACAGCAACCTTAACTTTAGCGACGTCACTCTTGCGGTAGATGGACCCTGCTGCTGTCTTGACAGTGGAGGGCGTTTCGGTCACGACTCTTCCTTTCAATGGCTTCATAAGGGCTTTACCACTTTTCCTCCCCTCGTCCTTTCTAATCAGAATTGGTGACGACTGGCGTTGATTGAAGATGGTTTCTGGCTTGTCTTCAATAAACCCACGTTTCCACGAATACAGCATCTCCTTGCGCAATTCGGGGTTAATGGTACTCGTCTCGTCCACCGTACGCCTTAGGTCATTAGCAGATGTATCGCGGCGTGTTTGATTCCATCTGGCATTGGCTTCTAGAAGCTCTTTCAGGGCCCGCGCTCTTGCCCGATCCTTTGCCATGTCTTCTTGTTGCTTGAATAGTGGACTCACGTCGCGGCTATTTTGTCCTTTTCGAACAATTTTTAGATTATCGCGAGACTGGTCGATTCGCTTTTTAAGTTGGGAGGCCGTCAGAGCTGAACGTTCCAGGTGTTCCTTATCTAAACGATCAGAGTTTCGTAAAAACCTATCACTGAGAATTTTAAATTCTGTTTTTGGCAATCTCTCAAAGTGAGCCTCAAATGGCGACATTTTAATTGTTTTCTGCTTACTCCAGCGGAGGTCACGAAGTATCGTACTAAGGCATTATTTTATTGATGTTACGTTTTCATCAAGTAACATTACTCCCAACCTTCTTTTGATAGTTTGTATAGTGCGTTCCACTAAACCGCATCCGCGATGGTCTCCCACTGGACAAAATTTTTGTTCAATGTTATTATCGGAACAAAGTTTTCTCATTGATTTGCCCTTAAATCCGGAAAACTGATCTGTTCTAACTGATTCGGGTATCCCATGTATATCAATATATGAGCGAAGAAATTTTATTGATGACTTTCCCCCTGTTGATTTAGTGATTTTCACTGACGGAAACTTTGAATACCTATCTATTGCTACCAACAGATAAATTTTTTTTCCTTGGTAATCTTCAAGTGGACCCGCGTAGTCTAACTGAACTTCTTGACCTGGCTGCGTCAGCAGTGGAAGGGGCTTTGTAGCATTTTTTGGTATGATGTATTTTGCATTTTTACCGTAGCGGGTGCAGCTTCTGCATTCCTCTGCAAGATTGACGATATCCTTATGCATGTGCGGCCACCACAGGTATTTCGACACATCCAGCATCGCTTCCTGGCCTGGGTGACCGCAGTGGATCCGCTTCAGCACCGCCAAGCGCAATTGTTCCGGAACAGCCAGTCGGTTGTCAACCAGTATACAGTCGTCCACGACTGAAAGTTGATGCCAGAGAGGGTTAGTATACGGGCCCATCAACTCGAAGCTGTATCGGTCATTCCTCTCAATCACCCGCCGCAATCTATCCATCCAAACGTCCTCTGATATCAGTTCCGCTAAGAGGCTTCGATCAAACAGCTTAGTGAGGTTGTCCAAGCAGATTTCTGTACTCGTATCTCTTTGATGCGATCTGCTTCTTCTGGAATCGTGACCTGTTTTGTCTTTCTTAACGATGCTGACTTCTGGAGTTCCCGGATGGCTTTCAGCTGTAAGGTCCACTTCGATGATTTGGGGATTTCCTCTCTGGGTATTGAATTCCAATGAATGATCACTTCTGTTGAGATCGTCCAGGACTGTCCGTGCTTCTAATTCTAGTAAGCTTTTTGGGTTGTTTGGCTTTTCTGCCCCCATGAGATCCCAAAATGACATCAGAGTTGTTTCACTATTTCCTGCTGTGTTTCCGGATGTGATTTCCTTGCATTCTTTAGACTTGACTGGTTTTCTTACTGTCCTCCACTCAACCTGGGGTACATCTGACTCGGAATCGTCTGACTCTTGCCTACTGCACGCAGCACCTCTCTTCACCAATCTTGTTCGGGAGAAGGTGGTTTCCGTCACTTGTTCTGTTAGTTCGTCCTCCTTCCGATTCTCATTCTGTCTGTTTGACGTTTTCTTTAATTTTCCTGAATTGCTTTTCTCCATTTTGTCTTCCAACGCCGCCTTTGTGAAATCTGCTGATTGTTTTGAATTCGAGATATCTTTTTGTTTGATAGAAATTGTATTAAATTTTGATTTATCGACCAACTGTTTCTCACGAGCTAATTTGTCCAATGTGTTTTTCGTGTTTTTCTGGTTCTGATCTGTTTGAAAACTTGAGTTTTGACCGTTTTCGTTCCGGTCGAGCTTTGTCCAGTTTTGAAAAAATTGGCTGTCATAGCAACCGCGTGATGAGCTGTTCTTACAGTAGTTAGTTTCTCTTGTTATTCTAGAACGTTCTAGAATGTTGATAGCACTATTTTGATTTATTTCACTAAACCGACTGCTTAAACAGTCGAGTGCTTTATGGAAACTTTCAATAGACGTTACTACAAATCTCTCATCCAGTTCCGATTCCGGCCACGGTTCCCCATTA